AATCCCCATTCCTTGGTTGCCAGAATCCTTAAAGGTAAATATTTTAAAAATGGAAATTTTCTAGAGTGTGGAATGGGGACTCGTCCATCTTATGCATGGAGGAGTATCATGCACGGTAGAGAATTACTCAAAAAGGGTCTATATCGACATATTGGTAATGGGAATGACACTAATGTTTGGGCTGAGAATTGGATTATTGACACTATCCCACGGCCACCAATGTACCGTGAAAATAGCTCTATAAATTTAGTGCTTAAGGTATCTGATTTGTTCCGGCCAGGGTGTAACCAATGGGATACCAATTTGCTACAACAGACTTTTGCGCCTCAGGATGTTCAAAAGATACTACTTTTGAAACCGTCACGGGTATGTGAAGATTCTATTAGATGGGGTTTCACACCAAATGGATCATATTCGACTCGAAGTGGATATACGTTGTTAGAGAATTTGGTGGATTATGATCACCCTCAAGGTCATTCCCTCACACCTATAGAAAAAAAATTATGGCGAGACCTGTGAAAACCAAAGCTCCACCAAAAATAAAACATTTTATGTGGCGGGCGTTATCTGGTGCGTTGGCGGTAAAGCAACGCTTGACTACTCGGGGTATTCCGATAGATCCAACTTGCCCCGTTTGTGGTAATGAGGCAGAGACTATTTGTCATGTTCTTTTCACTTGTGTTAAAGCACGTACCATATGGGATCAAGCTAATGTCCAATTACCTGTAGGAGGGTTCTCTAGGAATTCCACTTCTTAAACTTTGTCCACTTACTTAAGATTGCTAAGAGCTCATCTTCGGATATTCATACAACAAAAGTTTTCCCATGGTTGCTATGGGAAATATGGAAAGCTAGGAACTCTTTTGTTTTAAAAATATGGTTCTAGAGTCTTCATTTATTTCTAAGAGAGCATATGAAGAGGAATCCACATGGTATGATACATTCACAGGTTCGATGGATGAACTGGATGGTAGTCACATACAAAAGGTTCGTTGGATCAAACCCCCTAATGGGTCCCTAAAATGTAATGTGGGATCCTCATGGATAAAACCAAATCAGCCGAGTGGCGCTTCGTGGATCCTCCGTGATGAAGAAGGGCGAACAATGATGCCGCCGTGCTTATTCTTTCATGCGCTCAAAGACCGAGGCTGGCTTGTGGGCTCTCTTCTGGGCAGTATAATGCTTGCACAACTTACGTTTCTCGAATATTATTCTGGAGACTTCCTCGGAGTGCTTACACGACGCTTTAACGAATCCAAATGAACACATCAGCCTCAGCCACATTCGTCACAGCATCCTTTGGCTTCTGACAAGAATTGAATCATGGAGTCTAGATCATGTTCTTCCGGATCGAAATGAAGCTGCAGAGGCCATTGCTCTTAGTGTCACTCGGGATCGGCGCCACCAGTCGTATATCACTCGGAATGCTTCATCGTGGCTTCACCATCTACTCGTTTTAGAGTCCCAGTAACAAAGGGAATTGGTAAGCTAATTTTCTTTTCCCATGATGGTGTCTACTGACATCTCATCTCTTTGTTATTAGCTTATCATCATTGTTTGTTCTATCGAACTATGTATCTTTGTCAGTGTTATAAAAAAAAAATTAGTGTGTTTTAATAAGAGTTAATTTTAACATTAAATTAGTGTGTTTTAACATTAATTTTAATGGATGTTCATACATGCACTATTAATAAAACACACTAATTTTAATGTACATCCACAAACCTTTTTGCGTATCTAATATATATACACCATTTAGATGTTCAAAAATAATTAAAAATATTTATATTTTCAACTGTATTAAATATATTTAAATAAATGCTTATCTATTTTTGTATAATATACTAGGTGTTTTTTTGTCCGTATTTGCGGGCATACTTCTCTTATAAATTATCTATTAGCTAATGTTTCATTAATGTAAAAACCAGCATAATAAATTATTATTTATATTTTCTAAAGTAAAAATGAAACATCAAATAATTATCAATGACAAAAGTAAAACATCAAAAATATTTTTAAAAATTAAATATTTTTATAATTATTTTGCTTGATTTATATTTAATTATAATATATTATACAAATAGTTTTACTTAATTTATGTTTGATTATATTTTCTTATATCTTAATTTTAAATTTTATAATAGAAAAACATATTTTCAAGATAACAATATAATGGATAAGTTATATATTTTCTAAAATATGATATTATAAATTTGTTTTAATTATATAATAATTATATAAGATTATAAATATTATGACATATAATTAAAATTACCTAAAAGCATGGAGAACTTAGTGAATCAGCATATTCACTCCTTAAATAATTTTTCTTGAGTGATGATTTATATTTAATTAATAAAAAATATTTTTATATTTTACTCTTAAATTATATAATATAAAATATATTTTCAAGATAACAACATAATACATAAGAATTACCTTATTTTATAAAAGTATACTATTATTAGTGTAAATTTATTTCAATTATAGAATAACTACAATTTTTATATCTTAATTTGAAATTTTAAATAGAAACATATATTTTCAAGACAACAACTTAATACATAAGAATTATCTTATTTTCTAAAAATACTACTAATATAAATTTGTTTTAAATATATAATAAATTATATATAAAATTATAGAAATCGTGCTAAATTATTAAAAATACCTAAAACGTGGAAAATATGACAAATCAACAAACATCAAATTAACTTCTTAAATAATAGTATAGATTTTTTATATGTTAATTTTAAATTTTATAATAGAAAATTATATTTTAAATATAACAACATCATACATAATAATTAACTTATTTTCTAAAATGTCATATTATTAATATAAATTTAAAATTTAAGTTTTATATATAAAATATATTTCAAGATAACAACATAATTCACAAGAATTATCTTATTTTCTAAAATATTATATATTCATATAAATTCGTTTTATTTATAAATAAATTATATATAAATATTAAAAATATGATAAATAAACAAAATTACCTAAATTTATGGAGAAGATGACAACTAAGCAAAATTACTTTTTAAATAATAATATAAATATAAATTGTTATCAAATTGAAATTTAAGATCTGAAGCAAAAGATATTCTTCTTTTCTATGATATATGGTTATACTTTGTATGTTATATTGTTACCAATTAATAAAATAATCAAAATAAGTAAATATATATTTTTTGTTTGTTACAGAATTTATAAAAATAAAATTAAGATTAAATTTTGAAATACAACTATGTTGTAGCTTATCAAAAATCTATAAAATATTACTGTAGATTTTAATTAGTATCTTCTGTTCGGGCAGTCTATATTTATATGTAATTTTTCTTCTTCTTTTTCCTTTTTGTAAAAGATCAGGCACATCATGTGAGATTTAAGAAAAGGGACGTAAAAAGGTGGGAAATGAAATTTTAAACCGAATGTAGAATAGGATAAGCTTGAAATGGAATTAGTTGCTTGTCTTGACTTGTCGAACTTTCTAATTGCCTTCGATAGCTAATGTATCAAATTTGCGTCATCATTGCAACCGAATTTCTTACTATAGTCAATGGATCTATGTGTTTTGTTTTTCAATGAAGCTAGGTTCGGTTTATGTGGAAATTGGGCTCCAACTCTATAATTGGATTTAAACCAATCAAGAAAATTAATTACAAAAAAGAAGAGTTGTTTAAACCTTTGCTTTAAGATTTAGGTTTAAGTTGGTTGAAGATATGGGTTAAGGGCTCTGTTTATGTCTTTGTTATTGGCGTCGGTGACAAACAAACAAACGTCCAACTATGCATTATCTTTTTTTTTTATTTGTTGTTGTTAGCAAAGAAGCAAGGAAAGACAAGTGACAATGATTAACTATTAAAGTAGAATCTCTCCTAAAATTCTGCCCATAATTTCTGAATTATTTATAAAAGTATGCCACTAGCATTTAATTTTAATATGATTATTATTTATTTAAACTAAACAACTAAATCTTTCGTATATTTATGGTAATTAATAATTTTCTAATTTTGTGTTTAATAATAATTTTATTTTTATGAAATTTATACTTTCTTATAATTTTAATATTCTATTTCCGGGCATAATATCATTTAACAATCAAAAATTAAATATTATTATTTACTATGTCATAGTATTGATATGGCAATTCATTTTTTTTTATAAATTACCTTTTAGATATTAAATAAGTAAAAATTTAAATAATCATAAGTTATTAATAACCGAAAAACAGATATTGTTATATAAATATTTTTCTTCTATTACCATTGTTTCTTTTTCAAATAAAAACAAATTCATTGAAGTCTAAGAAATAATAAAAAATCAATTTTCTTTAATATTAAAAGTATGTGTTATTTAAATTTTTTTAAGAAAAAATATTACCAATTTTTATGGGACTTTTAGCGGATCTACAAATATTATATTGCGGATTAATAGAGGGTTTTTGCATATTACCAGTTTTATCAAAATTTTAATTAATACAATTTCATTAATCTTAATCGGACTATACAAAAGTTGTTGGATATATCCGTTTAACTATGGATCTAGATCAGATATAAAAACACACAATACATAAAAATCAAACAATATAATAGTACATTTTAATATTAATAAAACAACTTTTTTTGTTAAATTAAAATTTATTAATTCAAATAAATTTTATCAAAAAAGTATAATAGACGTGCGCTTTTAAAACGTGGATCAAAATATAGTTAGCTTTATAGTCAATGACTTAATGGTTTAGTTAGGGGATATATTTTAGCCAAAAGCGATCAAATAATTTTCCAATGGTGAAAATGACGGTTTGAAATTTAGATTCGTGACATGTCGGCGAACGAACAGCGACAAGATAAACATGATTTGGTCGCCAAATCAAAGGTTTAGCAAGAATAATATGGTACTTTCATAAATTTAATTTTTGTTATCATTTTCCATGGTAGTTTTGTTGAAGAGGTTTAGCAAAAATTTTATCTAAAAAAGTCAAGTATCTTTAAATTCAATATGTGTATTAACAGAAATAATACATGTAACATTTAACTACACATTGATAAGAAAATCTAAAAATAAAACTCAACACTTGGGACCACGAAAGCCAATTGACCAAATGTCATAAAACTGCGGAGTTCAAAGCTCCAGAGAAAGAAACTGAGAAACAAAGATCCAAGTTAAAAAACATTCTTACCAATTAAAAACACTGATCTCTTCTTGTTCTTGGCACTTCCACTACCGACAATGATCGATCCCAACCCAAACAAACTCCCAGACGGAATCACATCCAGAAACGAATTCACCTTAATGCCTCCTCCATTACCGCTGTAACTGTAACCTCCATAGCTCTTCTTCCTAAATAGCTGTTTCTGAGAACTACAGTTTGAAGAAGAAGGAGACGAAACCTCAAGCTTCATAGTTTCTGTCTGTTTAGAATTCGAACCGGTGGGGTTATCAGAAAGTAATGGCAAACCAATTTCGGAATTGAGACGTTCGCTTTTTTTCTTAATCCCCCAACACGGATTCACATTGGGTCTCTCTTCATCATCTTCGATTTCTTCTATTTCATGAACCGGTTTAATATATCTGGTTGGATTCGTTTCCGGTCTGGGGCAACACAGTTCAGAAGGAACACGAAATGACACCGTATTGGGTTTCGCTGCCATCCTCGTTAATCCGATTTCTAGAACCGGTTTAGTATCCCCGATTGGATTCGTATACAAACCAGTTCCATCTTTGGCGGGTATCTTTTTGATTTCTGTGGGGAGTATTTTTCCGTCGGAGAAGAATTCTTCGGCGGACCTTGAGCTTTCATCGGCGATTACGCCACCGGGAATGGAGAAATCGAAATTGGTGCTTGAAGGTTCTGAAGGAGTTTGCTCGATTGGTATGGAATCAGAGTGGCAAAAATCGTGAGAAAAGGAGAGTCTTGGGCCGTGCTTGGCATTTTCCGGCATTGTTATTATTTTTCTCTTGAAAATATTGGAAATGATTTGATACAGAATGGGATCAACAAGAACTCCATTTTATATTTGACGATTATGTAGAGGTGAATTAAATGGAGTGGCTATTTTCAATGTTCGACAAAAGTTTTGTTAATGTATTGACTTTCTGTACATATCGGTAAGCAGATATATTCACGGTTTGGACAAACGGAACCGCCAACACAAGCACCTTTCAAATCTTAACCAACCAGTCCACTAAGGGTATGACTGGTTTCTTGCTATCATCCGCAAACAATCCTTTGTGGTTGATAGCGATTGTTGGCGTTTTACAACAATCATCTAAACAGTTCTGAACCGGTTAAAATTGTTCTAAACCTTTTAAATTCAAAAATTGTTTCCAACTAGCGTTTGCGATTGCAGGAGGATAATTTTTGTTCTTTAAAAAAAAACAATATAAATACAAAAATAAAAAAGTCAATATTTTTTTAAAAATTGGAATTATAAAAATACTAAAATATATCTATTATATTTTATTTAATATTATTAAAAAAATTTAGAAAAAATTCAATAATTTAAAAAATTTAAAACTATAACTTTGTAAGTATATTTTTATATTTGTTATAATATTATGATTTTGGTATTTTTATGATTAAACAAAATGTAAATATTGTTACAAAGATGAATCTACTCAGACATAGCCAAGAGAGATTTGCTATGAATCTCTTTTCATCTTATTCATCTGTTAGATTTGGGGTTCAAATAGTTATGAGGGATTAGCCCCAACTATGGATTGTTGAGTTGTTATATTCATTATCCAAATGAACCCTAATGCTTACTCTAGATTTGCTACATAGAGTGATGATTATGGAGTGACTGATCTAATAGTCATTTTCCTGAAATCATTTGGCTAAACCCAGACTCTATTAAGGCTCGATGCGACAGCCAGTCTGATAGAAATTCTAGGGTGAACACAGTTTCAATCTGATCTGATACTATATATCGATCGATACTCCTCTAGAGTCCTCGATCGACGGCAACATATATCGATCGACACTGCGATAGCAACATCGATCGATACTGTCGGAAATCAGATCAATGGACAAGTCTAATAGCGACAGCTATAGCTTTGTCTAAGGATTGAAGTTCTCATATATTTGCAAGCAATTCGTTAAGACATCCATAGATTTATAATCCTGATTTTCTGAATAGTAACCTTGAATCTAACTACTTTCTAACATTGTTTTCAAACCCAAAACCTATTTTCCTTAGCAACTTACCATTGCTACCTATTTTTATTTACTGTTTTAAAACCTTTTCAACCTAGCTTAATCACTTAGGATTATATCTTTTCTGACTCTAGTTCCTTGTGGATTCGATCCCTAAGTACTACAATTGAACCTCTTATTCACTACAAGAAAACGTTGTTATAGCGACTAGGTATTACGACTACATATGTGTAGTCGTAATTAACCATCTCATTTACGACTACATTACGTCTAAAAAAGCATTAGTCGTAAAACAGAGGTTAACTTGCTACCAATTCCACTAGACGTACATTAGTCGTAACATAACGACCAATATACGACCACGTGTCCGTGTAAACGTACTGTAGTCGTTAAATTACGACTAGTGTACGATCACTCGTGTTTAGGATTTCGGTCAAGGCTTTAATGGTAGGTTGATGCTAATTGGTTGTAATGTACGACTAGATTACGACTAAATGATGGACCAAGATGCTAATTAGTCGTAAATATTCGAAGCTAGGTAGTCGTAATGAGAACCATCGTTTTCTCCAAAAGACAAACAAATATTTTAAAATATTTTAGATATAGAGATTTTAGATATAGAGTTGAAAGATTTGAAAAAGAGGGAAGAAAGGTACTCGGATCAAAACTCCGAAGAGATCAATGCGAGACGAACGTTGAAACGTTGGTTTCGCATAGAATCCACGGAATTGTGATCCGAGTATCTTTCTTCTCTTCTTTTTCAAATATTTCTAAACTAATATTTTGAAATATATTAAAAAGAGAGTTGATAATTGAGTCGAAGAGTTTAAAAATCTAAGAAAAAGAGAGAAAAAGACACTGGGATCACAACTCCAAAAAGATTAATGCGGGACTAACATTGAAATGTTGGTTTCGCTTAGAATCTATGGACTTGTGATTCCAGTGTCTTTCTTCTCTCTTTTTCTTAAAAAATATTACAAATGTAGTCCCTAATTGGTCGTAAAGGCCATTTGTCACTCATTGGTTGTAATTTTCAACTAATATACATCTAATATATTTTACCACCAATTAACTACTATTTGGTCGTAAATTGGTCGTAAAAGTGCTACCAGATTACGACTAACTGTTTTGCATCCATTTTGCATCTGTTTAACTACTAAGTTAACTACTTACCAAAATCGAAATTTCTCTATAAATATGATCTTCTTCCTCATTCTTAAAACGGGAAAAAAAACAGAAAACTTTTTTAAAAAAATGTCTAGGAATATTTATGAGATCCGGAGTTGGATGTATGCACATAAAGATTCAAGAGGAATAGTAACTGATGAATTTCTCAACGGAGCAGAGATGTTCATGAACCTAGCCGGACAAACGTCTCTCACACAGGAAACGGGTAAAATGTTCTGTCCTTGTCGTAAATGCAACAATACGAAGTTTGCTGCTAGTGAAACGGTTTGGAAACATATAGTAAATAGAGGATTTACTCCACATTACTATATCTGGTATAACCATGGAGAAGGTGATAATATGAATGAAGCTAGTAGTAGTAATCAGGTTGAAATAGTTCATAACAGAGAGGAATCACATTTGCTTTCTGAAAGTTACCTTCAAGAGGATCATCATATGGTAGATCATGATATGATGCATGATATCGTCACAGATGCATTTCGTGAAACAACATCTATTATAGAGGAGGTAGAAAATGTAGAGGGGCCTAACTTGGATGCAAAAAGAGTTTCTGAAATGCTAGCAGCAGCTAATGAGCCAATTTATGAAGGTTGTAGAGAAGGTCTTTCTAAATTATCATTGGATGCTAGGATGATGAATATCAAAACTGATCATAACTTACCTGAAGTTTGTATGGATGCATGGGCTGAGTTGTTTAAAGAGTGTTTGCCTGAAGAAAATTTGTCTGCTGAATCTTATTATGAGATTCAGAAACTTGTTCATAAACTTGGCTTGCCTTCAGAGATGATAGATGTCTGTATAGACAACTGTATGATCTTCTGGGGAGATGATGTCGAATTGTTAGAGTGTAAATTTTGCAAGAAGCCGCAATATAAACCGCAATATAAACCGCAAGGACGTGGACGAAATAGGGCTCCGTACCAGCGGATGTGGTACTTATCCATTAAGGATAGACTGAAGAGATTATATCAATCTGAGAAGACGGCATCATCAATGAGATGGCATGCGGAACATACCCAGAAAGAAGGTGAGATCAATCATCCCTCTGATGCAAAAGCGTGGAAACACTTGAATTCGGTGTACCCTGATTTTGAAAGTAACCCCCAAAACGTTTATCTTGGACTCTGTACAGATGGCTTTAGTCCATTTGGAATGTCTGGAAGACAATACTCGCTTTGGCCAGTCTTCTTGACACCGTACAACCTTCCTTCAGAGATGTGTAATGCAAAGGAATTGCTTTTCATGAGTATATTGATACCTGGACCAAAGCATCCAAAGAGGTCGCTGGATGTTTTTTTACAGCCTTTGATTAAAGAGTTGAAGGAATTATGGTCAACAAGCGTGCAAACATATGTTTGTTCAACAAAAACAAACTTCACAATGCGAGCAGTTCTTTTGTGGACCATTAGTGACTTTCCTGCATACGGGATGTTGTCAGGTTGGACGACGCATGGTAGACTATCTTGTCCTTATTGTATGGGAAGCACATACGCATTTCAGCTGAAGAATGGTAGGAAAACTTCCTGGTTTGATTGGCATCAAAGATTACCGTACCGAAGGAAGAAGAAATTGTTTCGGTCAAAGAGGGTTGTAAGGGACACCGCTCCACCCTATTTAACTGGAGAAGAAATCGAGAAAGATATTGAGTACTATGGAGCACTAGACACAGTTAGCAGAGGGGGTAATTGGCACACTCCTGCAAATATGCCCGACGGTTATGGGACACAACATAATTGGCACAAAAAGAATATATTTTGGGAACTTCCATATTGGAAAGATCTACTCCTGCGACACAATCTTGATGTGATGCATATAGAGAAGAATTTATTTGACAACATCATCAATACTTTGTTGAACGTCCCTGGGAAGACAAAAGATAACAATAACTCAAGGTTGGATTTGCCTGGATTATGTTCTAGGGTTGAGCTGCATATTCAAAACGATGGGAAAATTCCGGTTCCCATTTTCCGATTGTCAGCACCAGCAAAAGCGGCGTTGTTCAAGTGGGTGGCATCTGATGTGAAGTTTTCAGATGGATATGTTTCAAATCTATCAAAATGTGTGGATCAGCAAGGACAAAATTTTGCAGGGATGAAGAGTCATGACTGTCATGTGTTTATGCAACGACTTTTACCATTTGCATTTACAGAGTTACTTCCAAAATATGTTCACGAAGCACTTGAAGGTAGCAAATACTATATATTAAAGTTATTAATTATTTCTTTTTGGCCCTGTACATTAGAAAGTTTCTTATGTTGGCTTGTACATAAATAATTATTCGTAGGCATTGGATCTTTTTTCAGAGATCTTAGCGCACACACCTTAACTGTAGATGTAATCAAACAACTTGATGAGAATATCCCGATCTTGATGTGCAATTTGGAAAAAATATTTCCTCCGACTTTTTTTGACGTCATGGAACATCTTGTTATCCACGTTCCGTATGAGGCACTGCTTCGTGGACCTGTTCATAATGGATGGATGTATCCTTACGAGCGAGCCATGAAACATCTAAAAGGGAAAGCAAAAAAATCATGCAAGAGAGGAAGGTTCAATAGTTGCTGGAAGTTTGAATGCGGAAACATCTCATTTAACTTCATACTACTTTGGATCACAAGCGCGGACTCGGAAAAGAACAACGAGCATGTATGAAGATGGTGGTGTTGTGCCGACATATATTGTTGAAGACGTTCCAGACATATTCTGTCAGGTTGGACGTCTAGGTGGAAGGTTGAGAGAAGTTTGGTGGTCGAGTTCTGAAGACGCCCACAGTGCGCACACATATATCCTCCTTAACTGCGAGGAGCTTAAG